TTGTCCATTAATTGATTGTCTTCATATCCAACTTTGCCCATTAATTGCATCTTAATACCCAACTTTATCCATTAATTGATAGTCTTAATATCCGACTTTGTCCATTACTTGATAGTCATAATACCTGATTTTGTCCATTAATTGAAAGTCTTAACACCTGACCTTGTCCATTAATTGATAGTCTTAATACCCGACTGTCCATTACTTGATAGTCTCAACACCCGACTTTGTCCATTAATTGATAGTCATTACACCCGACTTTGCCCATTACTTGATAGTCTTAATACCCGACTGTCCATTACTTGATAGTCTAAATACCCGACTTTGTCCATTACTTGACAGTCTTAATACCCGACTTTGTCCATTAATTGACAGTCTCAATACCTGAATTTGTCCATTACTTGATAGTCTCAACACCCGACTTTGTCCATTAATTGACAGTCTTAATACCCGACTGTCCATTAATTGATAGTCTTAATACCTGAATTTGTCCATTAATTGATAGTGTTAATACCCGACTTTGTCCATTAATTGATTTCTTAACACCCGACATTAATTGATAGTCCTAATACCTGACTTTGTCCATTAATTGATAGTCTTAATACCCGACTTTGTCCATTAATTGGTTTTCTTAATACCAAACTTTGTCCATTAATTGATTTTCTTAACACCAGGACTTGGTCCATTACTTGATAGACTCAACACCTGACTTTGTCCATGAATTGATTGATAGTCTCAAAACCTGACTGTGCCCTTTAATCTCTGACCACTGATTTTATCTAAAGACCTGATTTTTTCCCTATTATTTGACAATCTCAGCGATTAACTTTGTCTATTAACCCTTAGGCTGCTACATTGATTTCTATGAAAAAGGGGCCACTGCTGAATTAATTATTGAAATAATGTGCATAACTTGAAAATTGTTGGTTTTCGATTCTAAAGTTGCTTCAGTATTTACCTGTACAGGTGGTAATAATGGTAAAAAAAGGTGAAACTTTTAATTAATCGGATTTAAGCACCAGAAAGATCATTTTAAAATTGTTTTTGTCAGCAAATGTGATTGGAAAATGATAACAGAGATTGTAAACTTCATTAATGACATAAGACGCTGTACATTTACACGGAGATTTTCAGGTAAAAAGGTAAGGTATTTCATCAAGAATTGCATGCGATTTGCTACAGGTTTCAGGTCGTCATTCAATATATTTACTGTCACAGTCGGCATATAGATATATCTTAGCTACGGTCTAGTTTATGATTAAATCATCGATAAATAGTTTGAAGAAATCAATCGGCTCAAAACATGTCAATGTTCAATTCGGCCTCACCTGCAGACGACATGTGCGCCTCGGTCTGCCGATATTTTCATGTTTGCGAAGGGCACAAAGCCGTTCATTGGAAAGTTGCATATTATGTTACACCGATGTCAAACCCTTTAAAACCTTTATTATCATCGTAGGTGACGCTAGAGAATAAATGTTTACCATCATATTCATCACTTCAATCTACACGTCCGCCATTTTCATGACGTTTTTTCCGATTTGAAATTATCTTGCACACTTTGGTTATTACTAGGGTACATTGCCAGGAATATCGAAAGTAATGACAAAACAACCAATCAGAAGCCTTCTACTATACGCTTTCGGGTTTGGTATAGCAACAGTCCGCTTTCACACTTCCTGTTTACTGATCAAAAACCTACTGACTGAGCGCCACTATTGTCGTGCGTAGCACTGATGGCCGGCTTTTCGAAACCACTATTGTGGCGCGTTGCAGCCTAAGGGTTAATTGATAGTCTTAACACCCGAATTTGTCCTTTAATTTATATTGTCAACACTTCAATTTTGCCACTTAAAATATTGAATTTATTCTGATTTGTGTATTAATTGATAATATCAATACTTCACTTTGTCTTTTAACTGATAGTGTCTATACTTCACTTTGTCTATTAACTGATAGTGTCCATACTTCACTTTGTCTATAAACTAATAGTGTCCATACTTCACTTTGTCTATTGACTAATAGTGTCCATACTTCACTTTGTCTATAAACACTGATAGTGTCCATACTTCACTTTGTTTATAAACTGAAAGTGTCCATACTTCACTTTGTCTATTGACTTATAGTGTCCATACTTCACTTTGTCTATAGACACTGATAGTGTCCATACTTCACTTTGTTTATAAACTGAAAGTGTCCATACTTTACTTTGTCTATTGACTGATAGTGTCCATACTTCACTTTGTCTATAAACTAATAGTGTCCATACTTCACTTTGTCTATTGACTTATAGTGTCCATACTTCACTTTGTCTATAAACACTGATAGTGTACATACTTCACTTTGTTTATAAACTGAAAGTGTCCATACTTTACTTTGTCTAACAACTGAATTAACTTGCCATCCAAATTTGTCAAACTTCTTCAGCTTTTCACAGCTAGTAACAGATAGTGGTGACTCTGGACAACAGTCTGACAATGGCAACCCAGGGCATAGTGGTAACCCATGACAACCGTAAGACAGTGGTAACCAAGAGTAACAGTAAGATAGTGGTAACCCAGGGCAACAGCAACACAGTGGTAACCCATGGCAACAGCAACACAGTGGTAAACAAGGGCAACAGCAAGACAGTGATAACCCATGGCAACAGTAAGATGGCAGTGCAGGACACGGTGGTTACCCATGGTGATAGAAATTGGCAGCATAGAGAAATGGATTAACTTCAGCAGTGTATTGTATTACTTAGTAGGTTCCCATCACTAGTAGAAACACTGGTCATAGCCTGGTAGTTTCTCTAAATAAACAAAACAGCACTATAGTTACAGCTGGGCCCTTAACCAATTAATTATTTAGAAATAATGAAATGTTTAGTAAACAATGAGAGACAAGAAGCAGACAGGATGCCCAGATCTGGTCTGTAGTTGGTTATACATTGCAATTTTTTAAAACTACCTATAAAAATAAATAATGTCCTACAGACACCCAACCTTACCCTGTTGAGATTTCAATGAAATATAGTTAGTCACACTGATATATTGAAACAACAAACTTGTGTGAATGCTCCTCATTGCATACTCCATACACAGAACATCTGACCACCAACCAGAACATCACTAACGACCCCTGTCAATATGTATCCTTGTATCCACCTCCTCTGTGTGAGGTCACCTGTCCTCACAGCGTGATCCCTACAGCCCCAGTATATGTGATGTCATCGTAGCCCGTTCTCCATCCTGTCACACTATAGTGTTCCTTGTTCCCTGACTGCATTGAAGTTGGTTGGTTGGTGGTTGCAAATTATATTTTTTTATTTGAGAAAGTACAAGAGCATAGGGAATAAGGTAGCCTCATGCTACTGATCATAATAATCAATGTGTGCGTTGAGGACGACGTCCCAGTCACAACACGGTCCCCCTCTGGCCGTAGTTTTCGCCCACATGGCTGTCTTTGTATCCACATGCCTTTGTTGCTGAGGAGAAGCCCAATGTCCAGATGTGGTAATCCTGTGACTAAGGGCAAAGCAGATATCCGAACTTAAGTCAAAGCCCTCGGATTGCTCCACTGATATCAATGAGGGCATTGTTTTAGTGTCAATGATGCAGTCAGGATCAAGGATGATTACACAGTTCCCTGTCAATGACACTATGGTGATGTCGCCGAAAATAAACGAGGATGCGAGCATTAGTTAGTAAGAGGATGATATGATCCGGCAATCAACGTGACTAAAGCCTAACATCCAAACACAAGATATTCCTTGTTACCAACCACTCACATCCATGTCCGTAACCATGGCGACCAAAAACAGCAATGTCCATCCATACGTCAGTGACAGACACCGTTACCGATCATACTCATAGCAAGCAATTTCAAGAACAATTGACAGCTACACCTGTGTTCATGGCCCCAGCAAGGACCGTAGCATTGATGACAGCTACACCTGTGTTCATGGCCCCAGCAAGGACCGTAGCATTGATGACAGCTACACCTGTGTTCATGGCCCCAGCAAGGACCGTAATATTGATGACAGCTGCACCTGTGTTCATGGCCCCAGCAAGGACCGTAGCATTGATGACAGCTACACCTGTGTTCATGGCCCCAGCAAGGACCGTAATATTGATCCTAATGCTGACCAACATCACTATTAATTAAGTGTTCATACTCTGGGCCACCAACTTCATTCACAAAGAAGAATAACGTCCATATTACTTGGTGCCATCAGCATCACTAATTGGGGGACAGCAATGTTCATACTTGTGGCAACCAACATCGTTAATAGAGGACAGTCACATCTGTACTCCGGGCGATGACATCACTACAGGAGGACAGTCACGTCCATATCCAAGGCGATGACATCACTAAAGGAGGACAGTCACGTCCATATCCAAGGCGATGACATCACTAAAGGAGGACAGTCATGTCCGTATCCAAGGCGATGACATCACTAAAGGAGGACAGTCACGTCCGTATCCAAGGATAAAATCATTAACAGACAGTAACGTTGGTACTCATGGCGATGACATCACTACAGGAGCACAGTCACGTCCGTATCCAAGGATAAAATCATTAACAGACAGTAACGTTGGTACTCCTGGCGATGACATCACTACAGGAGGACAGTCACGTCCGTTTCCAACGATAAAATCATTAACAGACAGTAGCGTTCGTACTCATGGCGATCACATCACTACAGGTTGACAGTCACGTCCATATCCAAGGATAAAATCATTAACAAAAAGTAACGTTGGTACTCATGGCGATGACATCACTACAGGAGGACAGTCATGTCCGTATCCAAGGATAAAATCATTAACAGACAGTAACGTTGGTACTCATGGCGATGACATCACTAAAGGAGGACTGTCATGTCCGTATCAAAGGATAAAATCATTAACAGACAGTAACGTTGGTACTCATGGCGACGACATCACTACAGGAGGACAGTAAGTTCCGTATCCAAGGATAAAATCAATAACAGACAGTAACGTTGGTACTCGTGGCGATGACATCACTACAGGTTGACAGTCACGTCCGTATCCAAGTATAAAATCATTAACAGACAGTAACGATGGTACTCATGGCGATGACATCACTACAGGAGGACAGTCATGTCCTTATCCAAGGATAAAATCATTAACAGACAGTAACGTTGGTACTCATGGCGATGACATCACTACAGGAGGACAGTCACGTCCGTATCCAAGGATAAAATCATTAACAGACAGTAACGTTGGTACTCATGGCGATGACATCACTACAGGAGGACAGTCACGTCCGTATCCAAGGATAAAATCATTAACAGACAGTAACGTTGGTACTCATGGCGATGACATCACTACAGGAGGACTGTATGTTGGTACTCTAGAAGACTAATGACTGACAGCAGTGTGTCTGATGAAGAATGTTTGTAACATCACAGACATCCCCAGAGTTGGTCCTCAGTTCCCCGTCTATCACTAGCTCCGTGTCTATAGGGTAAACAACACCTACAACACGCATCATTACGGCTTTACTCTCTGTAAACACATAAAGTAGCAGGAACTGACATGTTCTCAGAGTTAATTTCTGATTTCAGTATTGGACTGGTATAAACTGGTCTACTCTATCATCTATCATGTTTCAATACATAATATACTGTATATCGGGAAATTTTCACCTTTTTCACTCTCTGTAATAAAGGTAAATTCATCTTTACAGTGAATACAGGTAGGCAACATCATATACATAATAATTTTAGTGATGGGCAAAATTGACATTGGGTGAAAATAGAGTTCATGGGAGAAGGGCGAAAATTTCCTGGTATACAGTATATATAATAATAAAGTAAAAGTTATAGACGTACAGTTACCTGTACAGCTTTGAACACTATGCCACAGATGTACGGTTACCTGTACAGCTTTGAACACTATGCCACAGATGTACGGTTACCTGTACGGCTTTGAACACTATGCCACAGATGAAGTTACCTATACGGCTTTGAACACTATGCCACAGATGTACATTTACCTGTACGGCTTTGAACACTATGCCACAGACTTAGTTACCTGTACAGCTTTGAACACTATGCCACAGGCGTAGTTACCTGTACAGCTTTGAACACTATGCCACAGACGTACGGTTACCTGTACGGCTTTGAACACTATGCCACAGATGTAGTTACCTATACGGCTTTGAACACTATGCCACAGATGTACAGTTACCTGTACGGCTTTGAACACTATGCCACAGACGTAGTTACCTGTACAGCTTTGAACACTATGCCACAGACGTACGGTTACCTGTACGACTTTGAACACTATGCCACAGACGTACAGTTACCTGTACGACTTTGAACACTATGCCACAGACGTACGGTTACCTGTACGACTTTGAACACTATGCCACAGACGTACGGTTACCTGTACGACTTTGAACACTATGCCACAGACGTACGGTTACCTGTTCGTTTTTGAACACTATGCCACAGACGTACGGTTACCTGTACGGCTTTGAACACTATGCCACAGACGTACGGTTACCTGTTCAGCTTTGAACACTATGCCACAGATGAACGGTTACCTGTACGGCTTTGAACACTATGCCACTGACGTACAGTTACCAGTACGGCTTTGAACCCTCTGCCACAGACGTACAGTTACCTGTACAGCTTTGAACACTATGCCACAGACGTACGGCTACCTGTACGGCTTTGAACACTATGCCACAGACGTGCGGTTACCTGTACGACTTTGAACACTATGCCACAGATGTACGGTTACCTGTACAGCTTTGAACACTATGCCCCAGACGTACGGTTACCTGTACAGCTTTGAACACTATGCCACAGATGTACAGTTACCTGTAGGGCTTTGAACACTATGCCACAGATGAACGGTTACCTGTACGGCTTTGAACACTATGCCACAGACGTAGTTACCTGTACAGCTTTGAACACTATGCCACAGACGTACGGTTACCTGTACGACTTTGAACACTATGCCACAGACGTACGGTTACCAGTACAGCTTTGAACACTATGCCACAGACGTACAGTTACCTGTACGACTTTGAACACTATGCCACAGACGTACGGTTACCTGTACAGCTTTGCACACTATGCCACAGACGTACGGTTACCTGTACGGGTTTGAACACTATGCCACAGACGTACAGTTACCTGTACAGCTTTGAACACTATGCCACAGACATATGGTTACCTGTACGGCTTTGAACACTATGCCACAGACGTACGGTAACCTGTACAGCTTTGAACACTATGCCAGACATACGGTTGCCTGTATGGCTTTGAACACTATGCCACTGACGTATGATTACCTACTTGAATTAGAGTGGCTCGTTCTCCTCTGTAGGCGACTGTAATCGAAGTTGTTCATTATCAGGGAAAAATATACTGGGTTCTGTATTTCTCCGCTTTATCTTATTTTTGCTTTTTTTCAACATTGTTGCCTGAAAAGGAAACAGTATTATATTGAAAATTGTAAAATAAGTGAAACAAGTACTGCATTTAACAAATGATTATCTAGGGAATTTGTGTAAAACTTTCTCAAAGACTACTCGCAAGAGGCTCAAGGGACTTGTTCACCTAATTTTCTTTTACTTTTTTAACTGATTGAGTCCTGTGACATGTAACCCAAAATGTGATGCTACAAATATACTATGTCTGAGCCTTACAGTTTTGTAGAAGTTGTGATGAAGTTGTAGTGCCTTTTGATAAAGTGAAGGCAATTTATTCGAACGATGAGGTTTGATGACCTTCTACCACAGACTTAATATCGGGGTTTATGGTTCTGAAGATGAGTGTAAGTCGTCTCAATGGTCCCTTGCGCGGGTATAGAAATCTGAGTACAGTATGTTACTCACCAACTAATCATGGTGCAATTATCAACGAAATCTTATCAAGAAATATTCTGACATTTGTAAGTTATCGGACAAGCATTGCAAGTTTTCAAAATGCGGCAGTTACCGGACAGAAAAAACAGCCATGGGCACTGTTCTTACTATCCGGAGAGAAAAAACAGCCGTGGGCACTGTCGTTACTATCCAGACAGAAAAAACAGCCATGGGCACTGTTCTTACTATCCGGAGAGAAAAAACAGCCGTGGGCACTGTCGTTACTATCCAGACAGAAAAAACAGCCATGGGCACTGTCATTACTATCCGGACAGAAACAACACCCATGGACACTGTCATTACTATCCGGACACAAAACACAGCCATGGGCACTGTCGTTACTATCCGGACAGAAAAAACAGCCAGGGGCACTGTCATTACTATCCGGACAGAAAACACAGCCATGGGCACTGTCGCTACTATCTGGACAGAAAACACAGCCATGGGCACTGCCGTTACTATCCGGACAGAAAAAACAGCCATGGGCACTGTCGTTACTATCCGTAAAGAAAAATCACCCATGGGCACTGCCATTACTATCCGGACAGAAACAACACCCATGGGCACCGTCATTACTACTATCCGGACAGAAAAAACAGCCATGGGCAGTGTCGTTACTATCCGTAAAGAAAAATCACCCATGGGCACTGCTGTTACTATCTGGACAGAAAACACAGACATGGGCACTGTCATTACTATCCAGACAGAAAACACAGCCATGGGCACTGTCATTACTATCCGGACAGAAAACACAGCCATGGGCACTGTCATTACTACCCGGACAAAAAACACAGCCATGGGCACTGTCATTACTACCCGGACAAAAAACACAGCCATGGGCACTGTCATTACTATCCAGACAGAAAACACAGCCATGGGCGCTGTCATTACTATCCGGACAGAAAACACAGCCATGGGCACTGTCATTGAAATTCACTAACACGACTCCTGAAAAGATTGTACTATTTCTGCCACTCACAGCTGTATACTACTATTTTGATCCTGTGTCTGTGACTCATTTACCCCTGAAGACACATTTGAACTCTTCCAATTCAATGGTTGGAATAGTTCATTATGAAATTTCAGGGGTGATTAAGTTAAAGATGTCAATGTTGTTACCTTTAATGCTGATCGTAGTACTACAACTTGGCCGGCTGGCTGAACCCACGGCTCGCCATCAACTTGGACCGGTATGTCTGCTAACAATGTTATCCGTAACTGCAATACAAAAGTCCAGATGAAAATGTATTACGGTATAAGAAGTATGAATCAATTCTATTCTCTTGATCAAAGTGATATAATTTGAACAATTCATAGTTGACTATATTAATCCAATAACCAATCAAAACTGTCCCCTAGTTCAATGTGTATCCCCAGCATAGGCCACTCTGCCTGTGATACTTACATGTCCCCCCTGTTCAATGTGTAGCCCCAGCATAGATCACTCTGCCTGTGATACTAATATGTCCCCTAGTTCAATGTGTATCCCCAGCTTAGGCCACTCTGCCTGTGATACTTACATGTCCCCCCTGTTCAATGTGTATCCCTAGCTTAGGCCACTCTGCCTGTGATACTGACATGTCCCCCCTGTTCAATGTGTAGCCCCAGCTTAGGTCACTCTGCCTGTGATACTTACATGTCCCCCCTGTTCAATGTGTAGCCCCAGCATAGGCCACTCTGCCTGTGATATTTACATGTCCCCCCTGTGCTATGTGTATCCCCAGCTTAGGCCCCTCTGCCTGTGATACTGACATGTCCCCCCTGTGCTATGCTTATCCCCGAGCGTAGGCCACTTTGCCTGTGATATTTACATGTCACCCCTGTGCTATGGGTATCCCCAGCTTAGGCCACTCTGCCTGTGATATTTACATGTCTCCCCTGTGCTATGCGTATCCCCGAGCTTAGGCTACTTACATGTCCTCCCTGTGCTATGCGTATCCCTGAGCGTAGGCCACTCTGCCTGTGATACTTACATGTCCCCCCTGTGCTATGCGTATCCCCGAGTGTAGGCCACTCTGCCTGTGATATTTACATGTCCCCCCTGTGCTATGCGTATCCCCGAGCTTGGGCTACTTACATGTCCCCCCTGTGCTATGCGTATCCCCGAGCGTAGGCCACTCTGCCTGTGATACTGACATGTCACCCCTGTGCTATGTGTATCCCCGAGCTTAGGCCACTCTGCCTGTGATATTTACATGTCCCCCCTGTGCTATGCGTATCCCTGAGCATAGGCCACTCTGCCTGTGATACTTACATGTCCCCCCTGTGCTATGCGTATCCCCGAGCGTAGGCCACTCTGTATCTGTCCCATGTGCACCACGCCTGTGACTCCCACCACTTCAAGATTACCATCATAATGGTTTGGTTTAGAAAAATGGTCTTCTCTCTCGGGGCCCCAAGGATTGGATCCTGACCCCCAACTGTAGAAATATACAAAATCGTTAAATACAAACTGATTATCTCAAAATCACAGAATTAAAAAACAAGAGGCCCATGGGCCTAAACGGTCACCTGAGTCTACAGTATTTATTTTTGTTGTTGAAATATGTACCAATTTGAGTAAAAAATAGTATAATGTGAACTTAACTTTGTCAGGACCATGAGCTGATCATTCCTAGACCAATTTTAAGTGAGATCGGCCTATTAGAACTTAGTAGCAAAATAGCGGCCATGGCAGCCAAATTGTATTTCTGATTGACCCGAAAAATAACAACACTTTGTCAGGACCATGAGGCGATCATTCCTACCAACTTTCAGTTCAATCGGCCCAGCAGAACTTGACTTTAAGTTTGAAATGTAAAATGTTAACGGACGACGGACGACGGACGATGGACGACGACGGACGAAAACGGATAGCAATAGGTCACTTGAGCTAAAGCTCAGGTGACCTAAAAAGTAAAATATTTGGTTGCCCGGAAGTTGATAGATTACCACACAGCATTTTCAGTTGCTTTCATGAAAGCAATCTTCAGTGTATAATTTCACAAATGTTTCTTCTTTCATAAAACTGTACATACCAAAATGAAAAAGTTCTGAGAAGATAAATTAATGCAATGTTTTCAGGAATATTAACTTAGTTATCTGTAATGTCATTTGATTTACACTGTAACAGTGTGTACAGTGTTAACTTTCTCCAATTCTTTTTTTATTCATTAACTCTCTGATGTTCTCATTTCAGTAGTAGAGGGTATATCGGAGTAACATTATTTGATAATGAGAAATAGTTTTTGTTTCTTCAATGTTCCAATAGAAGAGGTCAACATTGGTCGCCTCATAACTATGATCATGCAGTGGGTTAGAGCAGGCCAATACCACTTACCTGAGTATATTGAGTATAATAATGCCCTCTACTGGAGGCAGCTCCACTGGTTTACCGTCCACCTCCAGTCTCATGTGACGATGTAGATCTTTACAAGCTTTTCTGTTCACCATCTTCCGTAAACCAATTTTCAAATACATTCCCTTATTATGTAATCTGAAAAACATAACATGCAAATAATGAGCATACTACATATTATGGGCGGATTGGTCGAGTGGTTAACACATCGGCCTTCCACGCAGACGCCCAGGGTTCGATCCTCGAAGTCGTCGCACGCATGGAATATTCAGAGAAGGTGTTTTTCTCCTGTCCACACAACTCCAACAACCCAGGTGGGGTATAAAATGGTCTGGGGTGGATGTTGCGGTATCTGTGCTGTAGCACTCATGTGAGGTGGCACTATAAATGATGCCGTTGGAAGCACGGTCCCACTTCAAACAGAATCAATACCTCTCCAGCACATGCGCAGGCATACACACATAGGGAGATGTTAGCCAGGTGGCATATGACTAGTAGTTAGCACCTGCTAAGGCAGCTCCTGCCAATTCCTCTTTAATGTAAATGGTAATTGTATTAATTGTTAATCTATGTACTGTAAAGCGCTTTAGAGTGGCTAATTCTAGCTAGATAGGGCGCTATATCAAATGTTGTACATTATTCTAGCTAGATAGGGCTCTTTATTACATACTTACTAATAAATACGGGTTTTTTGTATATGCGATACGACACAATTGCTCTTATAATTACCCGTATCAGCCCTCGCCGTATCACACCCCAAAAGCCGTATCAGCCCCCACCGTATCACACCCCAAAACCTGTATCAGCCTGCAAAATCCGTATCACACCCTAAAACCTGTATCAGCCCGCAAAACCTGTATCACAACACTTTTGGAAATTTTTCGTTTTTCAATATTTCAAAAGAAAAATAGATTATAAGATAGTAGCTTTTATTAGTAAGTATATAATAAACAGAATAATACATGCCTTTTTCCATATCACACCCAGTATCAACCCTCGACCAATACTGGGTGTGATTTGGCAAAAGACATGTATTATTCTCTATATATCAAATGTTGTACATTATTATTATGATATATAGAGAATAATACATGCCTTTTTCCATATCACACCCAGTATCAACCCGAGACTGCAATATCAGCCCAAGGGCCGAAGGCCCGAGGGCTTATACTGGTCGAGGGTTGATCCTGGGTGTGATATGGAAAAAGGCGTGTTTTATTCTGTTTATTATATACTTACTAATAAATCTACTATCTTATGATTTATTTTTATTTTTGAAATATTGAAAAACGAAAATTTCCAAAAGGGGTGTGATACGGGTTTTGTGGGCTGATACAGGTTTTGGGGTGTGATACGGCGGGGCTGATACGGGTTTTGGGGTGTGATACGGCGAGGGCTGATATGGGTAAGAGCAATTGTGTCGTATCGCATATACAAAAAGCCCGTATTTATTAGTAAGTATGTAATAAATATAGCTACAGTCACTCTACATCCAAGCTTTCAGTCTTAGCCCTTCACCAGTGATTGAAGAGTCATCACCCTTATGTCACATCATATTTGAACGCAGGAAGTGCACACATAACTTCATATTGTTATGTATTTAGGTCAATTTAAGGCTTTGTACTACCTTTGTTACATTTCTTCGTCAACTCAGCCTTTAGGTTAATTTACAGAATACATTTGTAACATTGTCTTATTGAAAACGTTTTTTTTATTTCAATTATCACAGATTTTGAATTGTTATGAACGCATACATCCTTTTTTTAACAGTATAAAATGACTTGTACAATAAAAGACGGCAGTACATATGCATGTGTATTACCTGCTATTGAATTTGTCTGGTTTTTCCTCGCGTGCGATGTGGAAGTCGAGACAGAGATCTGCATCGATCCCGATACCAAAGTAATTGTTCATCACAAAGATGGTTGTCGTGTCTTCATTGGTGTTAGCCGAGTTGGTGTCGTTGGCAATCGCCACTCTAGTGTCATTCTGTTCCTTCTCATTGGGGTGAAAAATCACTGTCCACCTGTGTAAGTTACCAATCAGTGTACGGTAGAAACAACAGACGAGTAACAGGCAATTAGTGGTGGGCCGATGGTCAATTATAATTGAAAATTTATTGGTTTTCTCTCATTCTGATTATTGAATACAAATTCGAACTCCCTTTAGTAATGCGTATTGGGCGTATGTAAAGAAACAAGACGATACGGTGCCATGCCTGGCTAATAAAGAACAACCTACCAATTTCCTTTGGTAGGACCAAAGCAACTAGTGGTCGTCTGCGCATGTGTGATTATTTGAAAGTCAGGCATTGATTGATTGTTGCTTACCAGCATGTGTAAGCACCTTAAATGTAACAGCCCTACTACAGTTAATGGTTAATGATAAAATTCTCCAAAGGATTCAAGCTTTAAATTGATATACTAAGGAGAATAATTCTGTCAACCATATATTTTTGTTATAAGATCATATAAGCAAGCATAATCACTGATTCAAGCTTTAAATTGATATACTAAGGGGAATAATTCTGTCAACCATATATTTTTATTATAGGATCTTATAAGCAAGCATAATCACTGATTCAAGCTTTAAATTCACATACTAAGGGGAATAATTCTGTCAACCATAAATTTTTGCTATAGGATCTTATAAGCAAGCTTAATCACCGATTCAAGCTTTAAATTTAATATACTAAGGGGAATAATTCTGTCAACCATATATTTTTGTTATAGGATTCAAGCTTTAAATTTATATACAAAGGGGAATAACCCTGTCTACCATTTATTTTTGTTTTGCAAAAATAACCATGATCTAAAGTTAATTACAAAGGGAAATAACCCTATTGAATGCTTTTTTATGAGAAAGTAAGCATGACCTCCGATTCAATCTTCATCTTTGTTCAACATTATCAAGTTTTGTTATTGTTGCCTCAAGTACTTTTCATTCAACCACAGAATTAACAAATTCAGTTATGGCCATCCATCATTTAATGTTAGAATACAATCAGATGTGTACCATCTATCTACAGCTTGGTCTAACTGCAGTGTATTGGTATACATTGTTTATTTCAAGCTCAGGAAAAGGACAAATACTCTCGTGTTATTGATTTAGTGTAAAAAGCATTACAGGCAGAAGAAGGTCAGAAAGAAAGCATTGTTAGGGGGAGAATTTGAAAGAAGTATTGATTTTTTTGTGATTTTTTATCAATTTTCGTGGATAAGTCATAAATGTTTCTGCGTGACCAAGGGACTCAACTCTAGTTCACCATAAAGTCTTCACAAACCTTGATAAACTTTCTAGATCATTAAGTTCAGTGAACTCTATACAAACTCAATAATTATTTCTAGCAAGGAATAAGTGATCTGAAAAAGAAAATGGGCAGGTCATTGTAAGGAACCATGAACTACCAACTGGTCCGAGTACACAGGTAGGTGCTTACCTGTCTAGCTTTATCTCCTCAGCTTCTATAACGTCCCTGAGGAGGTTAAGTGGGTCCTCACCCCCGGTGTAGCCAGGCCCCCATCTAAGCACACGGGCGAGGTCATTGCCTGTAAAACAGGTTCTACGTGTTATAAAGTTATCGGAGGTATACCTTGTAGGTTATTTATATAGTTTACACATGGAACTTAACAAAATTAGTTTTCTGTATCTGTATCTATTGGTAAAGGGCAAAATAACCATGGGCAAATATTGATTTAACCAGTGGAGGACAAATATTTCACTAAGCCAAAGTATCCTGTTATACACTATATTCTTATTTTACAGATGTGATAATAAAGCGTTTGAAACACCTAGATTATATTACTGTAACAAAAGGAGCAGTCACTGCTGGTCAGGTTAGCTTGTTAATATCATTAGCCTGGCCAATTACCATGTCAGTGGCTCAGTGGAGACAGGTTTACCCCTGCAGCATTAACATTTTCTCAAGTTTGGGCGACAAAATAAGTAATAACAATATATTATGATAGTCAAATCGTTGTCGGGAGATTTCCATGTTAAAACAAGAAATGGTTGTTTTGATGCTTGAATATCGGGGCACTCCCAGTCATATCGAGAGACATCACATGTATTTTTGTTACTAAAGATATGATGTACTTACCTGTGCCCAAGGGGACAATGGCCAAGGGTGGTGACTGACACACAGCATCCTGCCCCACGTTGTCCAGACAGGAGAGGGCCCAGCCCACTGTACCGTCCCCTCCACAGGCCAGGATTTTGTAGTAAGGTATATTACGGAACACATACAGCCTGCAAAACACAAATCAATATATACAAACATTGTATGCTGTACTTTGTACAACTGTATGCATTATCTGTACTCCTGTACGTGTGCTTGGTATACCTGTATGTTTATGATTACATTAGTTAACAAACTTTTCCATGAAAAAAAGTCCCCTGTCTGCTTGTTATTTCGTTATCCTTCATACTTGCCATTTTTTTCATCACTTTCAACCCGTGATAAACATCACCATCACTTGATATCTTCCCCAGGTTTTGATCTCATTCATCCAGATGCTTGAGTTTGATATGATACAACTATGACAAACTAAACACGTCAATGCTCTAGATGCATATGAGACACGCCAATCACAACTTCAAAGGCTCCCCCTATATACTCGCCAGTCTATCGCTTCCGACCAAACTAGATCTTTTAATCAAGTGATTGGTCTAATGCCTCAAACAAGTTTTACTCAACCAACTTTATCAATTGGAACATCACTACCGGTCTGTGTCCATAGGAACATCACTACCGGTCTGTGTCCTCCGTATTCACCATGATCTCGTTCCAGTATATTTGGTATAATTTCTACCTTAGCCTTAACCCTTTCACCCCTATGTAACTAGAGTAGACTCTACCATGCATGGATATGGATGAGTCCATTATGGTCTACAGTGGTGAAAAGGCTAAAATATGTATACCATTGTTCTGATCCTAGTTAGTCAAAACATGTTAACCGATAATAAAATTACAGAGTCTACATGATGAGGCTCCATCTTATATATCCTGTGAATTTGGTATAATTGTATACTATGTATTGGTATAATTGTATGGTATATAGGTACGCTGCACTAAAGATGTGGTTCAGTACTTACCCAGGTAGTGGGCCGCCGGTCTCAAGATTAAAAACTTGGTGAGGATTTAGAAGTTTGCGAAAGGAAGTGATGAGTTCTAGGCCCTGACAACCGCCACTCTTTACATTAACAAAGACGAGCAAGGGGTTGAAGTTCTCCGGGATCATGTGTGACTGGAACACAAAAATACCAACATAAGCTGAAGGATCGTAATAATAGCTCTACAGAGCTTATGTTCATTGTTTAACAAGTACGACTCTCAATCAATCTTCTTGTATCTTGTATTATCTAATCATAACTATACCTGCAATCAGTTTTAAGTAGAAGATCAATCATTACTGAGCTCCAGTATTCACTATCCACCCACATATTATTACTGTTTTCGTTACTAAAACCTTTATAACTCACTTTTGTTTCCGGACCTGTTTACTTCAAGTCAAGAGGGTACTACCACATTCACTATCGTAACTATGGGGTTATTACAACTAAAATTATATCGTAACTATGGGGTAATTACAACTAAAATCGTTATCGTAACTAGGGGGTAATTACAACTAAAATCGTTATCATAACTAGGGGGTAATTACAACTAAAATCATTATTGTAACTATGGGGTTATTACAACTAAAATCGTTATCGTAACTAGGGGGTAATTACAACTAAAATCATTATCGTAACTAGGGGTAATTACAACTAAAATCGTTATCGTAACTAGGGGGTAATTACAACTAAAATCGTTATTGTAACTAGGGGTAATTACAACTAAAATCGTTATCGTAACTAGGGGGTAATTACAACTAAAATCGTTATCATAACTAGGGGGTAATTACAACTAAAATCGTTTAGTCATTTCTTATTTTCTTTCTCCCTATTTTACATTGAAACTACATTGGATATTTTTCTGATCAAATCGGCATCCATAGCCTCTTTTATGTGACAGCAATAGGACAAAGCTGGTGAATAAATAACACATACAGGGTTTTAAGTGTTGTTTATATGGTAAATGAATTTTCAAATTGATTAATAACTCTTCTAGACTAATTTAGCTCTAAAAATACTATGTATGCATTTGTCAACACAGACTAAGTAAGCACTAATCAAAATTTAAATTGAAGACATTATCACTTAGGATAACTGTTTGTCTACACTCACCTGAACTTAAATCGTAGCCAGCACCACTTAGGATAACTGTTTGTCTACACTCAACTGAATTTAAATCGTAGTCAGCATCACTTAGAATAACTGTTTGTTTACACTCACCTGAACTTAAATTGTAGCCAGCATCACTTAGAATAACTGTTTGTCTACACTCACCTGAACTCAAATCGTAGCCAGCATCACTTAGGATAACTTTTTGTCTACACTCACCTGAACTTAAATCGTAGCCAGAATCACTTAGGATAACTGTTTGTCTACACTCAACTGAATTTAAATCGTAGTCAGCATCACTTAGGATAACTGTTTGTCTACACTCAACTGAATTTAAATCGTAGCCAGCATCACTTAGGATAACTGTTTGTCTANCAGCATCACTTAGAATAACTGTTTGTCTACACTCACCTGAACTTAAATTGTAGCCAGCATCACTTAGAATAACTGTTTGTCTACACTCACCTGAACTTAAATTGTAGCCAGCATCACTTAGGATAACTGTTTGTCTACACTCACCTGAACTTAAATCGTAGTCAGCATCACTTAGGATAACTGTTTGTCTACATTCATCTAAATTTAAATCGTAGCCAGCATCACTTAGGAGAACCCCTTGTCTGTATTCACCTGAATGTTAGGAAGTAATAGCACAAGAAGTGGCTTTTCGTCAAATACAGAGTCCTGTAGAATATTAAACACACGGGAAGCTTTTTCCGAGTTGGTGTATATGAGGACCAGGGCTCCGTACTCGTAGTAAATCACGTCAAACTGGTTCCACTTGTTTCCTGTACAACAACCAACGTACAACACATATAGATTTTCTGTTTTAATAGTGAAAAGCACAGATATTGTTTACTGCTTAACATGTTTTGTAGGTTTTAAATTTCATTCTGCTAATCCCCATTAGCCGACATTAAATTTTAACCTTATCAAACTAAAGTTAAAATTAAATTTTGCGAAATTCCAATTTTTCACAAAAAAAATATTACTAAACAACACTGTATTTCATGTAAACAAAACTTCTGTAGCAAACTTAGCCTTGCCCTCTTTAACCTTATCAATCAAAATTTAAATTATTTTTTGCAAATTCCAATGTTCATAAAAATTCATAACTAAACAACACTGTATTTCAAGTAAACACAACTTCTGTAGCAAACTTAGCCTTACCCAATTTAACCTTATCAATCAAAAGTCAAAATTAAATTTTGCAAATTCCAATGTTCATAAAAATTCATAACTAAACAACACTGTATTTAAAGTAAACTTAACTTCCCTAACAGAACTTACCCTTGCTCACTGAAAACTTATCAATCTAAAGTCAAAATTAAATTTTGCAAATTCCAATGTTCACAAAAATTTCGTTACTACACAACACTATAATTCAGGTAAACTTCTGTTCCCAAACTTACCCTTGCCCACGATGTCGAGTAGGATCTTTTCGTACTGTCGCTGTGACAGACCGGTCGGGAGGTTACCCACAAACATGGATATGGTGGGTCCGTGGGGGTCCTCCCTCTGCTGTAGGTAGAACCGTGTCATACGGTTCTGTCTCAGTGAGTCCTGAACACACACCAACTCGTCATTTAATAATTAAATCTAATGTGATAAATGTCATCCTAACGAGGATTTTTTAATTGGTTGTTATGTTTTTGTACAGCAGACCATAAAATGTCTGTTGGGCATAATGGTATAAATGGTATCAAATCAGAACGCCGAGGTAAAAATAAAATCTCAAGTGTTCAACTAAGTTAAGATCAAAGACATCAAACTTATTGAAGTTGTTGAAATCAATCAGAAACAAGATATTAGTGTGTAAAATGGTGGACTGGACATTTAGAATCGGAGCATGTAGAAATGTTTTAATTTTAAAGTTAAACTTTTAATTTGATTTTACATCACAAGATTGTTACAACAACTACATGTTAGTTATCTCAGCTAAATGTTACACCTGAAGTGACATGTAACCCCAGTGACCTTTAACCCAGCGACCTTTTACTACTTATTACACCAGTATCAAACGGTTGCCTGATATTCATTAGGTTTGGTCATTTGAACACTCACCTTCCTACTTTGTTGTATAAGTTGCCATGGTTTTTCCGACTTATCCAGATGCTTCTCTGAGACACCTTTGTCCAAGAGAACCTCAATCAAACTGAAGTTCTCTGGATACACATCCTGTCAACACCAAAACAATACCTAGTACTTCCCTACTGTCAACACCAAAACAATACCTAGTACTTCCCTCATGTTAATACCAAAACAATACCTAGTACTTCCCTCATGTTAATACCAAAACAATACCTAGTACTTCCCTCATGTTAACACCCAAACAATACCTAGTACTTTCCTCATGTTAACACCAAAACAATACCTAGTACTTCCCTCAAGTTAACACCAAAACAATACCTAGTACTTCCCTCAAGTTAACACCGAAACAATACCTAGTACTTCCCTCATGTTAACACCAAAACAATACCTAGTACTTCCCTCAAGTTAACACCAAAACAATACCTAGTACTTCCCTCAAGTTAACACCAAAACAATACCTAGTACTTCCCTCATGTTAACACCAAAACTATACCTAGTACTTCCCTCATGTTAACACCAAAACTATACCTAGTACTTCCCTCCTTTTAACTTCTGTAGTAATAGTGCTTTGTGTAGTGAAATGTTTGAGCAACTTAATAGGAATTGGTAACGTTAAGGTCAGGCCAGGATACACCCCAAAGAAACTTGAGTAGACTCTACCATACATTCATCTGGATGAGTCTATTATAGTCTACGGTGGTGAAAGGGTGAATACAATTTCATCATCAGCAGTGTTTGGGTAGTAGTTTCAAGCATAACTTATGTAAAACCACATTAAATACTTGAGCAATATTCTTTTGAAAAATTAATTTTGATTCATTTTATAAGCCCCCTGTCCCAAAGAAGGTGGGAGGAAAGAGAAACAAGAGGTTCATGGGCCTTAACGGTCACCTGATATATTTATACAGAGAGTTGATTTTGTTTTTAACATGAACAGAAATATTATTCAAAGTGACAAAAAACAATAAAACCACCTTATTCAATATCTCGCATACAGATTTCAGACTAAAAAGGATTTGAAACTAGCACCTCTGATTCTTAACAAGGAAAATGAAGAAATTTTAGCACACTGACT